AGAAAAATTGACACGATCTGCATCCCCCATCCTATATTTGTTGTTTTCTGTTTTCAGAGGAATCAATGTAAAAATCTATCTTAGCTCAAATGCCAACATTTATAATATTATTCCATTTCTCAAAGAATACTTAGTATAAGACCATTAATTCTGAAAGTAATGAATATGGTAAGAGAAACTTAGACCTTTGTAAAGAATTTTCCTCAATCTGGTGCCATGGCGATGTCTTAGACCAGTAATCCAACATAGCTTGTGGGCAGCTAATATACAATCTCCCAAGTAGCCTATTTACACTAGTAGGTCGATCCAAAGATACTGCTTCTATTATGGAAATTATGAATTCATGGGAGGCTTGCTAAAATGTTGTACTTACATAAAAATGAAAGTGTTCCTCACTGGCCCACTCTACAAATAAATTAAATATAAAAATGACACATTTTACCTGCAATAGTATAAAAGGAGGCACAGGAGGACAAGTAGTATAAGAGCTATTCCTCCAAGAATTGCCAAAAGGAACACTGTGTGGTAAGTAGTGAAGTCCTTCGCTACAATGAGACCTACAAGATGGGGAAAAAAATAAAATTCTGAGGACAGGCAAGTCAAAGCTTTCTAACCCATTTTAGTGTATATTTAGAGGTAGGCTAGTTCTCACTTTGACAACTCCTTGTATCATCTGATGTGCCCTGATCCACTTCTAGCAGTATTCTCTGATGGGATCAGGTAGCAGCCCTGATTAGACAGGTTTCCAGAGCTGAGGGATGCCACTGATTTGAATTACTCAGAATATCCCAGAACAGGCCTATGCTAAGGACACTGTGAATAAATAAAGTGCAGTGATACATGTTCTTTGGTTAGTGGAACCAACCAAAACAATGGGCCTGTGTTATTATCTGGATTGTAAGCTGGAGCAGCAGCATCTATTTGGAGATGACATGCCTACAAAATGAATGATGCAATGGGGCAACAGTCAGCCAATGGGCTTCCTAACNTCCTTTAAAATAATGCATATCTGTAGATGTCAAGTGTTGAACTCTACTTAAAGATACCCTTTCAGTAGCATCATTATGATACATTTGAATTAAGAAATAATAATAATAATAATAAAGTTTTACATAGATCCATTTTCAGGAAAATTTGAGGTTATAATCTGCCATACCACGTCAAAATATCCAAATGTCCTTGATGGCCAGTATCAAGTAAATGGAATTCAAAGTCACAGTTTCATACAGACTTTGCAAAATAATTAGGTGAGTTTTCACAAAAATTATCTTGAGTGAACCTTCTCAGTTGTAACCCACCACAAAGATTACTTCATCATCTTTTTTCTTCTGTAAGTATAAACAAACAAAAATATTTGGCAATTATATATTCTCTTGGGGGAAAAGATAAAATCTAACAGAGGTTACTTCAAGTTGAATGTCATGAGTGGTCTTTCCTCTCGCTTTTGCCAGGGACTCTTTTTGTCTTCCCCTTGATCATCATCATCATCATCGTCATCATCATCATCGTCATCATCATTATCATCAGCTTCACTGTGTTCGGTTATTTTATGTTCTGGACTTATTAAAGGCTCTGGTGAACTTTCTACTGTTCTTTTTATTGTTTCTTCCTGCAGGCTGGGCAATTGGCCACCTGTTCTTCTGCTGCCTCCCTCCAACACACATCTTGGAGTATTATCTTCAGGACTACAAACTGCAGTTCCACATTCACTGCCACTTTGGTCTACTTCATCCAAATAAACAAGCTGGGTATAAGTGCTACTCTCTGGAATTTTCTGCTCTTTCTGTGGATGTATCTGCACTTGCTGGTGGGTTTGTTGTAAGTGATCTGCCCTTCCCTTTCGGGCAGATTTTGGCTCATTCATGTCAACCCCAGAATCCAGGCTGACATCATTGCTCCCATTCCTTCCAGCTCTTTGAAGATCAATGTAGGAATGTCTAACATGAGCATTGGAACGCCCATCCAAAGAAACAAACCATGCCCGGGGATGAGGTAAAGGCTTTCCTCCACCAAGCTCCAATAGAGCTTTCTCAGTAAGAAGCTGAACTTCACTATTCATTTGTGCCAGGGAGGCATCATTGAGGGATGCTGGAATGGACACAGATTCAGACATTGCAACATTCTGTGGTTTCCAGTCACCTGCACCAACGTCTTGCAAATGTTGCTGGGATACTGCTTGAGCAGTTAGCTGTTGTGGCTGCATCTGTTGCTGAGAATGTGGATAAAGCTGTGAATGAGGGCTGGATAATTCAACCTGGAGCCTTTCTATATCTACTGGTTGATCAGTAGAGAGAGGCTGGCTAATATAAGGATGTTCTCCTGGAAGTTTCATATAATGACCAGGAATGACTAATGTGGGCAACACTTTTCTGTAAACACTATCATTAACCTGATCAAGAGAATTACAACAGATCAGATGACCTGGTCGAGGAAAAGAAGTGGGTCTTTCAAGATGGTCAACGGAGCGAGACATCATACATTCAGAGGACCTGCAATCTAGAAGCTCCGTTTCAGGGGTTGAAGGGATAGGGTATACTTGTTCCTGAAGATTATATTTACTCCCTGTAGAAATATGATTCATGGATGTTTGCTCTTGCTTCTCAAATAAAGGCCGGCTTAACAACATTGCATTGTAACTGTGTCTATGGTCCCCCTGATCAGGAGAACCATACCCTTCTGTCATTTCCAAAGACTTTCTTGGATTTATAGAAAAAGAATCCAATGATTGAAGATAGTCTTTTTTCAAACTGTCATTAGAAGCCATATTTTCTAGAGACATGCGGCTACGGTCATTTTCCTTATGGGAAAGTGATTCTTCCCTGGAGCTAAATTCCTGTGAAGTGCTGTAAGTATGTTGCAGCATAGGGGTATGCATATCTACTTCTCCAGAACATCCTTTGTCCAAGTGAACAGCCACTATCAGTTCCTTGTGGCCAGAGGATTCTGGATGCCTGTTGCCAGTAATGGAGAGCCCACCAGGAAATTCTGATTCACGTCGGGAAAATACTAAATTGAGATGGGACATGGAAGTTGATTGATCCTTCTTAGCACCACTGAGTGTTGAGGATAACTGTAGTTTCTTACGATGTTGACGGGGCTTCAAACACTTTCTCCTAATGTTAAAAAAAGGAATAGAAAAAAAATTCATTTTAAAGGGACTTGCAGCAAAAGAATGGTCTAGTGAATAGGTATTCACACACCTATTCTCTCTTCCAATTATCATAAACCTGGCTGACCAAGATGGGTTGGCAGAAGTTATGGGAATTGTGGTCCACTATAAATGGAGAATGCTGAGGTAAAGAAAGCTATTGCAAGAGGCTCAAGCAAATTAACACTTCCTGATTTTATTTTGCAATCCAAACGAAATGTTCTGCAACTCAATCCTCAATGGAAATTCATTTTTGTTATACCTTTTCTGTTTATTTGCTTTTTCAATACTGTTTTTCAAGCATACCAACATCTCCTTCTTATTTTTGGGGGCTATTTACCTTTTAAAACCTTGGTGTATTACATTAGATATTTCAATTGCAGAGATAAATCTTATTATGAAACTTATTATGAAAAGAAAAAATAAATACTATAATAAAAACAATACATTAGAAGCAGATATAATAGAAGAAAGATAACTTTATAACTTTTTTCTCTTAAAATTATGTTTAGCAAGTAATATATTTAATAGAGCTTCTTCAAGACCAAGATAGTTTTACTCAAAGAAATATTTATGAAAGAAAGAAATAATGTTATTATTCTTGGTTTAATTTTTCTGTTTCAGCAAACACATTATAAATTACATATTGGAATGAGAGAAATATTCTTTTTCTCAGTTTTAAAAATGCCAGTTTTATAAACTATTATTGGTAGCTCCAAGTTACTCTATAATGCGGCTTGTTCCATAAGCAAATAGAAAAATTGACACGATCTGCATCCCCCATCCTATATTTGTTGTTTTCTGTTTTCAGAGGAATCAATGTAAAAATC